TGTGGTAGATTCCTGAGATAAGGAATGAACTCACTGTAGAAGAGGTACCAAGAAATTCCTCTCAGTCCACTACAAGCTCAAAGGAAAGCTCATCAGGCAGCACTTTCAATTTTGTAAGCTAGATTCACAAGTGTCTGACATTTTTTCATTTGCATAACTAGTAAAGATAATTTCAGTGTGCATCTGTAAAATGTCTTTGCAAGCTGAAAAGGCTTAAGTTGTGTCTCAGTAGAACAACAGATACACTATCCAAATATTGTCCCACCAGGATACAGCACATGGAATATAGTAACACTGATGTTTCAGGTTTTGTTACTGGCAAACATCTGCAGTGCATATGGAAGTTTACTTAAAAAAAAAAAATAAATAATTCAAAGACCTGATCCCTCCTTTCTATGATACACCCCAGTTTCACTGAAATAACTCTCACCATCTGAGCACCAGATCCCACATGTTTTTGTGTTCACACCTTTGGGTATGGGTCTCCAAAAGCATGAAAAGGAATGGCTTGTACCTAAATGCCTCTATCTCAGAGAACATCCTCCCAGAGTCTTTCACTGCAGCACTATGGGGGACCACTAGGTTCATTGTGTTTGACTTAGTGAACACACAAGAAGTTCACAGAAATTGGATTAAACCAGCATTTTAGAAAGCTCTTTAATCTTATGTCAAAGACTCCAGGCAACTACAAATCCACTTCTCCCCCTAAAGCTGGCCTAACACAAATAAATTGGCTTGTGTTTCAAAGCTCTCACTTTAATTTCCAGTCAACTGATTCTTATTGTGGTTTTGACTTAAAAATTTGGTAGTTGCCCCCAGTGTTATTTTTTTCTCTGGCAGATCTCCCTTCTTGAGTCTTGGGTCAAAGGGAAATGGAACAGAGTATCCCATTCTTTTACCTCTTCCCATCTCACCTCAGCTTTTCCCAGTGCTAGCAGAGGATGGCATTAGTAATTAAGAGTATCCCAATTTCATAATCAGATCTTCAGTCATGTAGACTTTTGCTCCTTAGAGGCCCCCACAGCAGCATACTGCACCGAGGTGGTGACTCAAGGGCTTAAACAAATAGCCTGAACTCAGCAACCCCCAATTTAATGACTCACAGTCACAGTTTCTGGATATGAATAAGTACTGCTGTTGTGCAGAACAACATTGCTGAGACACCCTGGCTTAGAAAAAGGTGGAAAAAAAAGTAAATGCTTGCTTAATAATTCTTGTCTGTTGTAAAAGCCTGGAGGAGTTTTTTCCCCCCCTTGAGAAATGGAATGAACTAATAGGATCAGAAATCTGTGCAACAAGACACCTGGTATAGTCCAAATATTAACACATAGAAAGCTGGACTGCTACAACCAAATTTTATGTATCATTTTTTTATACTTGAGCACAAATAATTCTACTAAATAACATCCAGGTGGTGAAGGAGGTGATCCCATGACTTAGAAACCTCACTAGGCAGGCTAATCCACAGCAAGATACAGATAATAAAAAAGCAGCATAATTTGTACACAAGATTAACATATTAGCACTGCAGAATTGGATACTTAAGCAGGACTTGAAGCAGCAGAACTGAAAACGGAGACCAAGCTTTGTGGGCCCAACCAGGGTGGGAGCTCTGCACAGATGCTCTCCAACCTTCCAGCGTATTCAGCACAATTTCCCCCCGAAATCTCCCTAGACAGTTTACACTACAATTTTGGCAATACAAAAAAAAGGAAACTGAGCTATTATCTTGTGGTAATAAGTCCCAGAAGTTAACAAAACATTACCAATTACAGCAATCTGTCTGTGCTTAATGCTTTTCCATTTCAAGTTGTTTCTTGCTCTGGTGTCATGGGAGGAAGGAAAAAACATAAATACCCAGAAGGCCTCTGCTATAACTTGCCCTTCAAGAATTTGTTCTCTTGATCTTCTCAGTACTACATTCCATTTATCTCTTAAAACTCCTTTTAAATGGAAATCAAGCTATGCCTTCTCTATTTTCATCCCTATTCTCTGGACTTTTCTGATTAGGTGAACAGAGCTCAGTATTGCTCAACAGCAGCAGAGCAGGCTGCCTATCAATGAGAACAGGTGAAGAGAGACACAACATTTAAGATGATCTTTTCTCAGAAAAGCTTCTGTGGAAAACATAATAATATTTTATTTTAGCTATTTTCTTTGAAGTGAGAGCCAGCTGAAAAACATTTATCCCAGGTTCCCTTGGTAGCACTTTATATTGAAGACAGTAGATACAGTACGAAAATAAAACAAGCAAAATTCTGAGCAATGCACAGGGAAGCACTGTGACCGAGTTGAAGGGAGTTTAGAATTATCTTCCACTTACACGCTTCCACTGCAGATTTCAGTCTTCACACGGAACAGTCACTTTCTCCAGTAACCAGCACCCTTGTGGAAAGGTCAGCCATGTGGGAAAGGAAAAGTATTTCTCATTTATTTCACTATTGAAGGTAGAAAAGCTCAAAAAAGCCATTTTTCCCAGTTTATATCCAAAAGGTCTTTGATTCAGGGCCAGATACCTCCACTAGTTTCACATAAACAATGCACTCCTTTCCCTCAATATTAAGCTCTAGTACAAGGTCATCCTGACAGAAATAAACCAGTCCCTTTTCCTCCCTGAACAGGCAGATCTGAAGAACTGCTTTTCATTTCCAGCAGTAAGAGAGACACAGCAGTAGAACTGAGAACAAGTGCCCATGACTACTGGAAAGACAGAACTGTGGCATTCCTCTCTCCTACAGAAGGACTAAATCAGAAACACTGTTAGCACAAGAGACAGGTCCCCATCCTACCGGCAAGGAGGATTTTTCCTGCTTTTGCAGCAACAGCAAAATCCTGAATAGCCTCAGTAATCGTAGAGCCATAGAATAGTCAGGGTTGGAAAGGATTTTAAGATCATCTAGTTTCAACCCCCCTGCCATGGGCAGGGACAACACACACTAAACCATGCCACCCAAGATTCCATCCAACCTGGTCTTGAACACCGACAGGGATGGAGCATTCACAGCTTCCTTGGGCAACCCATTCCAGTGCCTCACCATTCTCACAGTAAAGAACTTCTTCCTTGCATCTAACCTAAACTTCCCCTGAACTGTGCAATCCTTAGTGTCTGCAGACTCATGACTCTGTTTTATGCAGCCACCAACCTTGAGCACAGATGAAAAGTCACACATTTACTTACTTAAAGATATATGCTCTCCATGCATATATCCTCAAGCTCCACAGCATGCAGAAGCATAGTCTAATCAGCCAATGCTCATCCATCCATGTAAAGCTCTAGTAGATGTGTGGTTGTATTGGAGGACTCAAGCATCACAACAAGGCAAGCTAATTAAGAGTGTCTGATGCCAGAGAGGTCCATTTTCACAGGAGGTGTCCCCAAGCATGAAAGTTCTTAACTAGCAGTTGGGTGACATGAATAGCCTTGTCAGTGCTACAAAGGCATATGGGCCACTGTCCAAGAATGAGATATTTCATGACATGAGGCTAATGCTTTGCTTTCAGCTTCAGTATTTCTTTTGCGAGGAACTGAGAGCACTACAAGGAGGACCAACTCTGGACAGGAGTCCCTGCCACATTTCTTACCTGGCTTCTGCAAGCTCTTTCCCTTTGGTTGTCAGTTATAGCAACTGGGAGCTGCAGCTCTCAGGGAGTCCCAAGGTCACATACTGGTACTCAAAGTAGCATCATTTGTACAGCAGACTCCAGAGCGGAATTCAGCAGCAGTAGAGGAGTTCATAAAGCAAGGTCCTTCCTCTACCTCTTGCTGGGAGCTGGGGCTGTGGAGCTCTGAACAGTCATCACAGGGCAGTAGGGAAGCTGCCCTTCAACTAAACCCTTACAGTGGTACATTCTTTTTGTAAATACACACTAGTTTCATCTTTTTACATGAACACAAAACTACAACCAAGTTTTAAACCACTCATCAAAATAAATCGCATAGAATCCAAAGAAGCCTTGAAGTTGCATGATCCAGGAACTGGATTAGCTTGGCACTGTGTTGCTTTCTATGGGGTACTGCTGATGAAAGGCAGGTTATGGCAGGCCACTGCAGGCCTGACTGCAACCACATGACCTCCATTTATGCTGTAGTTACCTCTGTACCTTCCATCTCTTCTCATTCTGATACTTACTACAGGAGAGAAAATTGCCACATAGTATTCACAGAGCTCCAAAGGTGTGGTCTGCATGTGAAAAACGTTTCTTACCAACTAGTCCTCAACAACACTCCATCTTTACACTGACCCTAAGTGAGAACAAAGTTAGAATACACCACAGAGATCCATAATCTTGCATTGTCACTATGTTCAGACAGAGCCAGGCTGAGAAAAAGACACACATCCACAGATAGAGTTTGTCAAGGAGTCTTTGCTAGTATCAAAGGACTAGCAAGATGAGGGAGGCAGAGCCAAAGTTCTCTGGGACAGATCATCTTTCTTCTCCTGCATTTATGTCACACCTATTGCAACCAGAAACTGGTCTAACCTTCAAGGATAGCTACATCATCAGGATCCACTATTTATGAAGGTGGGTAATTCCCACTGCTTCTGCTTTGCAGATAAGGAAACTAATGCCAAAACTAGAGATGAGTACAGAGTCAGAGGCAGTTCAGAGCAGGAGCAAAGAACCCAGGCAGTGTTGGTGTTATGAATTTCTGTGCCCTCTTGCCAGCTCCTCAGCCACCTTCTAACATTGTCACCACATGCAGAGTTTGTCACTAGTGTATTCTCATAGCTCACACAGCTCTATTGCACGCAACTGAGGGCACCATGCCCCTAGAAATTACCTAACTTCTGTCCCTCCTGATGCCTCACTGACAGAATTTATAATAAAAGCAGTGAAGATGCTTTCTGCTTCACAAAGTGGCAACAGGCTCAGACTGACTTGACATATCTGCTCTCTAGCAGAAAATGATTTTCCAAGGGATTTCCACCCATCCACTATGCCAGGTCATCTCTCTATATGAGAAGCAGGGAAGGTGTTTCCCTGGGAACAGTAACCATGGCAAAGCTCTAACCAGTGTCTTCCCCTCTTTACCTACAGGAAGAAAAGGAACAGCAGATGCCTGAGCTCTGCCTCCAGCAGGCCCATGGGCCCCCAAAGCTGTAAGCAACCTGGAAGCACCTGATTGAAGATTCAAGAAGGAACTTCAATTAATTCTGTTCTGCCTCTTACTCAGATACCAGACATTTCTGCCATGCTGTGCTGAACTCAGAATGCCTCATTACAAAGAGTGCAACTGGAAACATCAGTGTTACTGAAAGGTCAGCCAAATACAACAACGTGTAAGTAGGCACTGAGCCCAAAAATCAGGGTGGATAGATAGCCAGTAGAAGCAGAGGTACAATGGACTAGCTTTGCAGTTTTCAAGCCCTGGCATTGTGTGTTAGAGCCCTATTAAAGAAAGCATCTGCAAACCCCAATTTGCCAGCAGATGACCTGCTACTGGTCCACCTCTTTTTCTGCAGAATATTCTCGATATACCAGATTGAATACAACTCTTTGCCGAAGAGATAATTAAAACATAATAAAGACTTACGTTGAATGCAGAAACATATTGCATACTTTAGGGGATCTTTTTGTCATGTACTAGTGAACTTGCAATAAATTTCTGGATTTGAGGTTTGCTAAGTATTCATTCAAGTTAACAGAGCAAATGACACCAAAGGGTTCCTTTGTTAATCTTTCTCTCACAGGACACATAGACTAAAAATGTTCTATGATTCAGCAAGCTTGATAAGTGACTAAACAGCCAACAGCATAGATCTCAACCATCACTCCACTTCAGGGTTAACACGCAGTTAGCACAAATTGCCAGGACACCAGCAGCAACCTGCTCAGAGTGGAATACTGCCCTATACCAAGATTGACTCACATGGGGCACAAAAAGCTTGATAGTCCAAGTTTCTGTTATGAGTACAGTGAAACCAGAATCTTTACAATGAGAGATATTAACATTCTACATAGTAATTTAAGAGCACAGGGTGAGAGCGTCAGTGGGGTCATTAAACCTACTGCCCCAACACAGACATTCCTATCAAAAGCTATTTTACATGCACAACAAATACCTGCTCTGGGCATACACAGAAACCCCAGTGTCTAACACTCAAATGAAATAAACATTTATTCAGAATAAGTCTAGCACTTCTTTTTACCTCCTCTAGGTCAAATCACTGCAAGTATCCCAGAAATACGCAAATGATGCACTCATACCTGAGTAAATATTCAAATCCAGCTAGTTGCCTTTATTTACCACTGACTCCTCAGAGAAAGCATTAGAAAAATAATCTCTTTTTGCACATCTCCTAGGAATGCAACGCAGCTACCACTAAGAGAAAGTGCTGTTTCTTTTAAAGATGCTGCACATACCTTTCTTCGCCATGCGCTCCAGTCTAATGCATCCTCCTATAAAGTCATGATAAGATTTCATTTCTCCTTCTGTTATCCGGACAGCAGTGAAAGGTAGATTCCTGGGCACCTGTTGTCCACATTTCCGACACCAAGAAGCCATTGCCACAGCTCAGGAGATTCTTGACAGGAATCTGCTCTTTCAGTTTGCTGGAATTCAGCCTGATTCTTCAGCCGTCAGTCCAGGCTGGTGATTTTATCCCACTTAGTTCATTCAAGGTCACCCACGCCAGCAGGATGTTCGCCATTGCAATTGGCTAAGACTTTTATAGGCTTACTGACTGTGTTTGTTTCTCCTTCCTTCCTTTCAATATCAGTTTACTTTATTCTCTCATTCAGAATGAAAGCTGTGAACCTCAGCACAGCCCATGCCCTGAATGGCTTCCTTATCATTAATTTAAAGCTATCTTATAAGCAACAATGAAGAGAGAAGATCCCAGAAGCACATTGCAAGATCACAGGCTGTCTCTTCAAAAGCATGCCAGATATGATCATGAAGACTTTTTTCTTAAGAAAACATTTTTCTTCATGATTTTTGGTTCCTTTTGTGCTTATGGTGTTATGATTCACCACTGAGAATGGATTTTTTACTGCTGCATTTCAGCTTGGATGGTGCAAGGACACTGCTCTGCAGAGCTGCTCAACCAATTACTCATATGCCTGGCAGTGGCACTGGGAGGCTGCAACTGTACAGAAAAGCCCGCTGCTGCTGTGCACAGTCCCTGCTCATAAGATCTGATAATCTAAATGAACAGAGTAGCAAATGGAGGACAGAAGAGAAATACTGCTGGCAGACATGCTCTGCTAGCTGTGCAATCCCCAGCCCAAATTCTGTTTAAAAAGAACTTAGATCCACCACTTTGACACCAAAAGGAGAAATCTGAAACATACATTCAGATTTCTCTTTTGAAGGGGCTGGATGTTTAGGTCGACTTTTTTCCATTTTAATAACCAATATAACACAAAGCATTGGTTAGAGAGCCTGGTGAAGAAACTAGTACTAGGGGAACTGAGTGTAGAGAGCACCCAGTCCCAGTGCAGGGAGCTAAAAAAGGGAGCCTTCCCTGGAACAGGGAGAGGACTGCACAGAAGAGGCATGAACGGGCACAAAGCCAACACTGGTGACAGTGCAAAGAATACAATAAAAACCTACTGAATCAGGGCCGAGCTGCAACGCAGAGCTCAACTGCAGGTACCTGAGTACAGACCAAGGTTTCTGCAAGGATCTTATACACAGGCCAGGAGAGTCTTTGCCTTCCTCTGCCTCAATCACTACTACCTGCTTCCACTTGCATAGTTGCATCCAGTATTGTTCATTTCATGACCCTCTCAGATCACTATCCCTAGATATGGGGTGGGAAAGGAGAAGCCTAATTAATACAAATCAGAGAAAGAACTAGAAGGGACAAAGATGCCCAGGAGAAAAGAGTCTCACATTTAATTAATGGCGAATAACTAGACGGACAGGCATGAACGCTTGTAAGCTAAAACATACAGAAGTTTTTTTCTAGTTCTTTCCCATTCCACAAACTTCAGCTTCTGCAAACTTCATGCAGCTCCTCCCCTGCCGACTCTGCTGCTTCTCAACTTCACAGTGAGCTGTTTAAGCTTCCTAACCCAGCGTACACAAACTGACCATGCAGTAAAGTAACTACCAGATTTGAGTAGTGAGTTTCAGGACCTCTCCTTTTGATGAAAGGAAGCTATAAAGGGATTTCCACTGTTAAAGTGAAAGATCTGTGCTCCCTCCCCTCCCTCCCTCCCAGTTTGCTGCATGGCATGAAGCTGGTCACCCTCCTGCTCTTTGTCTTTGCCAAAACCCTGCCTGCAAAGTGAGGACAGTGATGTACTGAGCTGTTGACCCGATTCATTAGCATTTACAAAATATTTGTTAGAGCTCCCACAAAGAAATTCCCAGGCAACTGCGATATTTTACATAGAGCAGTGGCACAGGAGGCAGAATTAATTTGTAGTGAACTGTCATCATGAGGTCAGAAAATCAGAAACATAACCCAGCAGTTTTATCTTAAAGCCTTTCTGCCATCCTCTTCTCTGGCTTAAGGTGTCCTTCCTTACATAAGCAAACATGACATACCTCAGAAAGCAAGCTTTTCTGACACTGTGCTCATGCATATGTCTGACATACACAGCATAACTGCACTTCAGATTTGCATATAGGTAGGTATACAACGGGGGAGAATCCAGCATTTGCAACAATACACTTCTGTCTGCCAGCCTCCTTTGCATACACTGTTCCGCCATAGCTTAGCAACAGGAGAATCTGTGAGACTCTGTTCCAAGGGGGAGATTTAATGCTGGAAGTGGGATGCAAGAAGAAAACTGCCCTAGGTGTGAGCTTCTGAAGCACAGGTAGCCAACAGCACACCCCAAGGAAACTAAAATCATCTAAGTCTCAGTCTTTCCCTAGGAAACCCCAATCCATTACAATGCTAAATAGACATCTCTGATGTGTGGGGTACCACTGACATCACCCAGCTCCAGAAAGAAAATAAGCTGACTGTAGGTGCTACACATCTAGCAATAAAGCACATAAGGTTTACCTCAGGGATTAAGTGCTGTGCTAGAAGGACTAGGATGGATGGACAGAAGGATCTATTTATTCTTCTGTAAGAGTCATTTCATTTACATTTCACAAGCAGCTGGGCTGGCTTCTCCTAACGCATACTGGAAACCTCTAACAAGGGAGCACTTAGAGACCTGCATGGTTTCCTGCTACAAAAATTACCTCTTCTGTGCTGCAATGGATGTATCTGCACAGGTGTTGCTGCAAGGGCTGGCTTGCAGAAATGCTTTCATGTAACATGAAACATCCTCAGCATGGATAACTGATTCTTCACAACTTTCCTCTCTGAGCTGAAAGGTATCAATCTGACTGAAAGCAACTTATTTTTCTTTGCATGCAGAAGATTATAGCAGAGGGAGCAGGTACAGAAAATGGCAACCATGCTTCTTTGGGTCTTCTCCATAGTTAACACAGAATAAAGGGCTGCTTTCTGGCTGCTCCAGACAACCACGACAGAATGTTTGGAAAAGCTAAGGAAGAGAACTTTTTCTGCTCATGAACTGCCAGCATTTCCTAGCAACATCATCTGGGTTGGTCTGTCAATGAAAAAGCAAGTAAACAAATGAAAGAGTCATCAGAAATGAAAAAAAAAAAACACTAAAAAACAACCCAACCAACAATCACACAGATATCCTTAAATGCCATCAATCAAACCCGCCTGAAGAACTGCACCAGTTCCTCGTTTCATTAGAAATACCAGTTCACCTTGGAATTGGAACTTGCTGACAAGTGCTTGCTGTCATGACTGTATGGCCAGAGGACTGCCATAAATTTAAAGTCAATTCAGTTTAAATCAGTTGAAGTCCCATGTCTCTTCTCACAAAATAACATGCTTCTGCCCCAGAAAGCAGTGCTTCAATGGGTGGTATCACTGTTAACCACGAAACATGGAACAAACATACTGGGTCTCAATGCTGCTGGGCCCAGTGGACATAATTTCTTGTGAAGAGTCAAGAACTGAGGTTGGAAAAGCATTATGTGACAGAGAAAGGAGCCTGCTTCTGCTGCATGTGGAAATGAGGCAGCTAGAAAATACTGTAAAACACTCCTGTTTGCAACTTACCCCACACAGTCATTAAACAATTGTGGGGAAACAGACACCACTTTTCCAACTGAGCCTGTTTCAAGAAAGGTTAGTAGATGAGACTCAAAAATTGCCTCCCTTTTCCATGAATGATTTAAAAACAAACAAAACTTCCAACCCCCCCAAGAAAAGCCCAGTAAAATTAGCAGGAAATAGCTTATTTATTCCTGAAGATCAGCAGCTCCCCCACCTATGTATAGTATTCTACACAACTGAGAAA